GGGGGGGGGTGTGGTTGTATGTGGGGGGGGTTGTGGGCAGGTGGACAGGTGTGTGGGTTTGGGTGTGATGTGAAGGAGCATGTGGGTGTGAGTATGGATATGTAGTGTGGGTAGGTATGGGGTTTGTGGGGAGATGTGTGTGGGGGGAAGGTGGCTGGAGTGTGTGAGGGGGTGTGGGTGCATGTTTATGGTGGGGTGTGTGTGTGGGACACCCTACAAACACACACACACACATACACACACACCCTCTGTCCCTCCCTCACTGCTCTGTCTCTCTCTCCCCCTCCCTCCCTCATTGCACAGACACACAGACACACCCACCCCACCTCTTGTTCCTGGCTCGAGGGTACTGGCATGGGCAGTGGCTGGCACACGGATGACAGCTGAGTGGAAGTGTGGGGCCCGCACTGGTGTCCCAGGGTCAAGGCTGACAGCCCCAGGGTCCCAGGCCACAAGACTGTGGCAGAGGCTTCCAGTTGGGACGGCAGGGGCAGAGAGTGGGGAGTGGAGGGGAGAGAAAGGAGCTGGGGGGAGGGGCAGGGCCGGGAGGGCCTTATTGCTGCAGCTGCTTAGTCCTGCTGCCAGTTCCCCCTGGGTCCTACTGCTGCTGGCTCCAGTCATCCTTGACAGGCAGCCAGGGGCAGATAAATATTAATTTTCTAAATTTTTTAGATGCCCCGCAAGCCAGATAGAATGGCTTGGTGGGCCGGATGTGACTCTCAGGCTGTATTTTGCCTGTCCCTGCTCTGTCAGGAATAGTTCTCCATGTGCCCACAATTCAAGTCAATCCAGCAGACAAGCTGGGTCCAGGTTCAGAACAGATCCCACTGGAATGCATGTCACATCTTTGACTAAAGTGCCACTGATGTGTGATAGACAGTGCTGGCAGCCCTGTGCCATCAGGATATCAGGATAAAGCTAATTAAATTGCAGCAGGAGCAAAGCTACACGTAGCCATGCCCATTCTAAGCGCAGTGGCAGGCTGCCCTTGTTGATTAACAGTTTACTGTAGCAAGTGTTTTTTACCATCTGGAATCACTGACAGATCCTGCTCAGAGCACTGAATCCTCACCTCCATCCGGGCCATGGTCTGCATGTGTAGGGGGTGGTCCTTTAAGAACTTCCCAAAAGCAACCCTCTTGCTGGCATAGTCTCTGCCCAGATTGATGATCCTGGACAAAAAAGCACAGTCAAGCACTGAGAGTTAAAGGCTGTGGCCTTCACATTCCCACTCACATCAAAGCCTCCCTCCTAACTAGCCCAGAATGCCCCACCCCACAGCAGAAAGCAGGGAGATGCCAGCCTGCAGTGCTGTTCACGTTGCCCCACAACTCCATACTTAGACACAATGGCTCCTCATGCACCTGAACTGTCATGTCTTAAACCAAAGTAGTCCAAAAGACAGCCTATGTGCTGCTGGCATCCTCAGAGAATCATTGAGTTGTTTGAGGGAAACCAGGGGCTTGAGTTTATCTGCTACAAACTTTTGAGCCTCTGATCCCTGGGGAAGTCAGGAATGGTCTTTTTATCCCAAAGTAATTCCCAACTCTAATCGCCCTCCTCAGCTGCTACCCTGAGCATCATGTCCATCCCTCTTCCATCCAGGGAGGCCAGCAGATCTCCTTGCTGTCACACATGTTGGCTGTTCCAGCAGGACCACAAGAAATTGCTATCTGGACTCCTCAGAGCAGAGTTCATGTGTCTGAACAGCACCTGACACACAGCAGGGCCCCAATCCAAGTGTGATCCCTTGTGTTACACTACAAAAACCAGACAGGATTTCTCTGGTTCCAGACCATGTTACCAGGTGTCCTGATGAATTCAGGACAGAGGAGTCAGTAACTGTCAGTGGCAGTACCTCAGAGCCCTCAGCAGATGTAAAGACAAGGAGTTACATCAATCTATACTAGCTTAAGATATGGGTCTGTCTGTGCCTGGGGACCTAGCAATGGGAAAATATACATTTGGGGACATTGAACAAAACACCTAGGAAGTTTAAAGCCAGACTGTTCTGAGACAAGGTTCCAGAAACAACCTCCTGCCAATTCCCCAGCATTGCTTGGCTCCCATACTCATCCCCACAACAGCACAGTACAGCTCACAACTACAAAAAGGCCCTTTGTCCTGACTGTTTGCTCCCTCAGTTGAGTGGAGATCCATGCTGCCTTCACCTCTTCATGACAGACACTGAGCTGTTGACATTGTGGATCCTAGTTATGGTCAACATGTTGGCAATGGAGGCCACTCCCCGACCTTCAGCAGAGATCTGAAAGCATTAAGGAATAAAGGCAAAAATAAAACTTCCCTTGAATCACCTAAGGAGACTCTTGCTTTGTTGGTTGGGTCAATGGGCTGATAAAATAAACTCTTCCCTCCATCTCTATCTGCCCTCAGACAACTGAGAGATCTCTTACCTTGAAATCTTTACCTTTTATTTTACCTAAATGTGTTTGCCTGTTATACAAGTCCATTCCCTTTAAGTAGAAGAGAGAAGCAAAATCTATTAGTGTGAGATCTCTCCACTCCTGCCCTTTGCATACCCGGTGTGCCTTGGCTCCATCCAGCAGCAGTTCAGCTGTTGGCACCTGCCTTGTGCCCAGCTTCTCCTTGAGCCTTTGCACCTCAACGCCATTCAGCTTTCCCTCCTTATCTCGGACTTCCATGAAGAACAGGGACAGGCCTCTGGAGCCCTAGGGTCATCAAGAAGAAACACAAGAGAGATACTCCTTTGCAGGGAGCTCTTAGCTGGCAGAGTAAGGAGGAGGATTCGGTCATGGTAAAGAGGGAGAGGGATGCAAAGAATTCCCTTGCTCCCTAGGCTCCTCTGTAAAACAGACCTGTTCTACTTCTCCATGAACATCCATGATCCTTGCCAAGGTCAGCGTCATGTCTGCATCGGTGGCAGATGTGAACCATTTAAAGCCGTAGAGGCAATATGTGCCATCTGCCTGCTCTCTGGCCACTGTCTCAGTGCTACAACCTGCAAGAGAAGAGCATAAGCTCTTGACTGGATAGGGAACACCTGCATCATCCTGTGCCGATTCATGGATGAAGCAGAAGCTCTTTAAATTACTCCATGCTGTCAAGATGAAATATGGGTGGGCAAGTAATCCCCAAGTAAGACATGCAACCAAGAGGATACATGAGAATGTACAAGAACCCTGCTAGAGTGCCGTGGGTCAGAAATGCAAAGTGGTTTACAGGAATAGTCACACAACGCTACAAGGGGAATAATGCGGCCAGGCACGGCAGAACAGCATTTGGCTAAGGAACAAGCAATAAGGACTAGGATCAGAAGCAGGGTCTTGTGTATTTCAGTGATGTGCAGTGCCCTCATTCCTGTTGATCAGGGTTGAATTCTAGAGGTGGGCACTGGAGCAGCATTGGTGGAAGCGGAGGCTGTGTGTCAGTGGGCAGGAAGGCTTGGTTTTTGTTGTAGGTAGATTGTTAGAGCTGTCCAGGGGATTTAGATGCTTGGATTGTATTGAAGTTTTCTAAATCTGCTACAGAGCCTTGAAAGCCACCCACAGTATTTTTCATTTTTGCTAACACACCCCATGCCGGTCAGTGGAGAAGCTTTTAATACTGTGACACATACCAACATCAGAGCCTCCTCTGCGTTCAGTCATCCACTGGCCAGAGGTCCAGAACTTCCTTGGGTCACGAGATGTCAGGTGACCAAAGGCTTTTTCCAGAGGCCCAGATATACCCAGAGTCTGTGGGGGCAAAGGAAACCCAGAATTTCTGAAAAGAGGAAAAGCACCAGCTACACCTTTCACTGGCAGCATTAGACAGATGCCTTCAAAAGCTGTGGATTGTTAACTAGGCACCTGACCTTGGGTCAGAAAAGGCAGTCTCCAGCCAGGTCAGGAGATCACTGAACAACACATATGTGTGTGCCTGGTAAGTACTGCAGAATCTGTGACGTGACCCAGCAGGTACTTGGGCTGGGCTGGCAAGAGCACTGTACAAAGATACAGATAGATGCTCATTACAAAGGGACATAGCTTGCGAGATAATGAGCACTTTCTGTTCTCCTTGACTTCAGCACCTCTTGAGATTTGTCCTAAGGCAACATCATGTGCATCTAATCAAAATTCATTTCATTAGCACTCAGCAAGCTGTGGGAATAACCCCAGAGTATTTGCTCACTAAGCAGCATGTTCAGGCCCAGGTACTCTGCAGAGACTCTGAACCTGATTCCCTCTGCCTTGAACCATGCATAGACACATGCATAGGATCATAGGACAGTAGGGTTAGAAATGACCTTGTGAGGTCATGTAATCCAGCCCCCTACTCAAGGCAGGATCATCCCTGACTAAACCATCCACCCAAGTGTCTGTCCAAACTGTTTTTGAAAATTTCCAAGGATGGAAAGTCCACAACTGCTTGAGGTAGCCTGTTCTGCCTAATCTCCAGCCTAGATTTCATCAGCTGCAATTTGAGGCCATTGCTCCTACTCCTGTCCCCTACAGCCACAGAAAAAAGCCCATCTCCATCCTTTATAATTGCCTGTCAGGTATTTGAAGATTCAAATTGCCCTTCAAGTATTTGAAGACTCAAATTCAAATCCTTCATCAGTCTTCTCTTCACCACATTACATAATCCTACTTCTTTCAGCCTTTCCCTTTAAGTCATGCTTCCCAGGCCTCTATAAGCATATTTGTTACTCTGAGCTGGGCTCTTTCAAATTTGTCCACATTCTTCTAGAAGTGTAGGGCCCAAACCTAGACAGAGCCTCCAAGCAAGGCCTCACCAGTGCTGAATAGCTCAAAAGAATCACTTCCCTTGATTTGCAAGTCACACTCGTTATAAATCAGTATACTGTTGGCGTTTTTTTGCAACAAGAGCACATTTTTAGCTCATGTTCAGCTTATGGTCTCCTGTAATCCCCCAGGTTCTTCTCTGCAGTACTGCAGTCTGGCCAGTCATTAACCAGTCTGTAGTTGTACATGCAATTATTCTGTCCCAAGTGCAGAACTTTGCACTTGCCCTTGTCAAATTTCTTCTGATTGATTGCAGACCATTTCTCCAGTCTATCCAGGTCTTTCTGAATCCTAGTCCTTACCTTCTAGAGTGTCTGCAATATGACCCGACTTGGCATCATTTGCAAATTTGCTAAGTGTGCACTCAGTCCCCATCATCCTACTTTTTTTTTTTTTGTTAGACTTGCCTCCCAGGGCATCTTGTCCACCACTTCCCTGAGTTTGCTAAAATCTGCTTTCCTGAAGTCCAGTGTCTGTATCATGATGCACTCTTTCCTACTTCCCCTTAGGCTCTAGTCACTATTACCCAAAGTATTTCCACTTTCACATTCTCAACTAATTCCTCCATTTGTAGCTAGCAAGTTGAGATCTTACTCCCTAGTTATCTTCTTTACCATCTTGAATAAAAAACCATCTGCAACATACCAAGATTTTGCTGGACTGTTTGTGCACTGATGTTTGCCTCCCTGCTGATGTCCTGGTAATTAAAGTCCCCCATGAGAACCAGGTCCTGTAATCAGGAAGCTTTTCCAGTTGTTTAAAGAAGGCTTTGTCCACTAACCTCTTCCTTCCTCCTGGTTTAGTGGCCCTTAGCAGATGCCCACCATGACATCCCCCTTGCTGCTCTCCCCTCTAACCTTTACCCAGAGGCTTTCAACATCAAGCAAAGGAGATATAAAGTACTTGAAGCCAAACCCCCAGCTCAAGGAAATCAATGGAGCTTGGCTAATTTACACCAGCTGAAGATCTAGCCCACTACATTTAGCAATCACTCTGCACAAAAGCTTATGCAGAGTGCAAGGAAACGAAAAATTAGGACCTCAGTGGCATGAAGTGCAAACAAGTGGAAGACTATATTCCACATATGTGTATTGCAGAGTAAGATCAAAGTCCTGCTGAGCTTGGTGCAGTATATAAATGCAGTAACGGATTGTCCTTGACACAGAGCTTGAAATCAGTGAGACAGCTGGGGCAGAAGGAAGGGAAATGAACCCCCCAGGTCTTAGAGCAGGTCTGTTGCAAGAACACACTCCAGCTCTTATGCAGCCCAGTACAGCTTCCTAGCCATGAGCCCATGATGTCTCTGCAATGAATGCAGATATCTGATATGCCATTGCCTCTCCCAGTGCATGACTAGCTGTACTCTTACCTCAATAACTTTGGCTGCTCCATCGGTCATGGCCAGTGGGCAGGAGAATAAGCCAGAAGAGGCTGCATATAAGTATAACTTGGTGATCTGATGCACACGGCTACCAGAGAAAAAAAATCAGGTATAAACATGCCTCGCAGAAATTCAGAAGCAGCAAAAAGAAAGCATCTTAACTAGAGAGAGATGAAGAGGTCACCTCCAGAAAATCTAGGTCTCTAGTCCACAAGGGATATAGCTGAGGCAGGATAAGAACCTGTATCCTGGTCTCAGCTTGTTACACCAGGGGCAGAACGGAGCTCAAGAAGCAGCAAAGCTGCTACTGAACAGTAATAATCATGTGCAGTAGTGTAACTTGGGTGGGTGAGCATCCCAGATGTGGACTTAGAGGAGGTATCAGAATGCTGCCAGGCAGGAAGCATTGGCATTCCGGGCAGGAGCAACCACGGGGTGTTGCTTGCCCCTACTGCAGCTGCCAATTTTTTGCTGCCAAATCTGCCTTTGCTGGTCACTGCTGGCAATGAAATTTGGCAGCAACTACAGTAGGGACACATGCAATGGTTGCTCGGCAGCTGCTCTGTTCACTTCCCAGCTGCTAGTCAATACCAGCCCCTTCCCCGCCTCCCTAAACCTTAGCAGCATGAGGCTTCTTTGCACCCTACTGCCCCTGGCCCTGGTCCTTGCAGCAACACTTCACAGACCCTCCTCCCACAAGAGACTTAGCCCAAGCGTGTGAACTTTACCAGTTACACTTCTGATCATGATCCCTCCTTCCTGGCTTTTGACTGCAGGTGAAGGGCCATGGTGTTACTCCACCTCCGTGTCGGAGTACTCCACTCTGATTCCTGTGCCTCAAGCCAGAGCTGCACCAGGCTCTCTCAGGCCCAAAGGGTTAGGTAGGAGCACTGTAATTATGGCAAACTGGGCAGCTAGCTCTGCCTGATCACTGACGATGAGAGGGATTACAATAAATGGAGATACTGCTAGTCCATCTGGGGCAGACATGTGGGGTTGCTTATGCATCATTTTATAACAAGAAGAACAAGAACAAGCACATCCTGCAAGGAAGGCATAATTTGCAAGAGGCACTCAGCACCACACACAGGGTTGGGACCTAGAAGGCATGTATGTACAGGACTGCAGGGTAAAGCTGATGCCCATGTGGTTACCTCCAGTTGGCGTATCTCCGCTCGTAGGCCTCAGCAACTAACCCCTCCTCTGCTGCAATCTCTTTCAACCTCTTCCAGGCTGGGCAGGTGATGATGTGGTCCACACGTTGCCCCCAGGCATTGTACTGCTGCAGTGCAGGGGGGTTCAACTCACACTCACGCCCCAGAGAGTCAATCTCAGCTACCACACGGGCCCCAAACCTCTCTAGGTCCAGGCTCACCTCCTCTAGCACCTAAGAAGCAGCACCAGAGAGACCTCAGAACATGTCGTGTAGAGTAATGATCACTTTCCCCACTGGTTCCCCTCTATCCTAGTTTTTCTGTAGCGTCTTTAATGAGTCAGGACAGCAGCCTGTCTTTTACTGTGCGATCATATTGTCACTCAGCTGTCACCCTGCCTCCTCTTTCCCACCCTGCCTCCTCTTCCCCTTATCAAATTCCCCATGGCAGCCTCTCCAGGTGTTCAAACAGAAGGATTTCAATTGCAAGGAACACCCCTGCCAGTGATGGGAAGTCTCCAGCTGCATTGCAAGTCTTATCCTTGGGATCAGAAGTTCATAATCCATTCACTTCCAAAAAGAAACCTTGTTTGGGCACTAGCCAGGGACCTGGGATGCCCATTTAGACCCTCTGTAAGTTTTCAGAATGTATTGGGACCCCATTTAAAAAATGAATAAAAAAAATAGTGTAGATCCAGGAGCTAGATCTGCCAGGTGTTCCATGCTCCCATGGAGACAGAGCCAGAGCAGCTGCAAAGGTTAAGAGTAGGGGCAGGCACCAGGTGTGGACAGCACTAGTTGGGGGACAGGCATGGGGTGGGAGATGGCAAGTGGCAAGGTGGAACAAGGGGCATGGAGAAAGCTGCCTAGCCTCCAGCTTTTTTTTTCCCCTGCCAATCTGCCAATACTTTTCCTGTGGCAGTGTTGGGGGGATGAATTTAAGAGGACCGTCCAATAACTAGGTTCTACACATGAAAAATTAAAACAAACTTATAATTTTCCATGTCTAGAATCTAATAACTGGGGGCATTGTTTTAAATTCAGTGTCATCTTGGATTCGGGTAAACATGGTACACCTGATGACTGGACTGTTTAGATTTACGCATTAACACACGCACACACAAAACTAAAACCACAGGCCCTATTCCTAAGAAACCCTATCCCTAACACTTCATTAACCCTTTTTCATTTGTACGGGAGCATACCTATGTTTCATCAATATTTTTCATCAGAGTATCTATTCAAATAAATATATTCTTAGGGAACACCGGCTACAGCCAACTGTACTTGACCAAGGTTCAACACTGAAGAAGAAAAAGGATTTTTTGGTAAGAAGGGGTTTTCACCACAGTAATCACTGTGTCCCAAACATGTCCCAGCTACACAGTCTCAGTACCAGAGGTGAGGAGGGTTGCGGTACATGCGTGCATGCACACTTTCATACACACATACGTAAATCAAACCTTGGAAGGGAGGTGCGCTTTCAAGTAACCCTGAAGAAAAGCATCTTCCAGATATGGATTCCCAATCTTGGGTTGCTCTTGAAAAAAGGTCCCAGTTGCAGTCCTGGCAAAGGGCACCTTCAGCTCCTCTGAGGTATGCTTGTCCCAGGCCTCAGTTTGCTCTCTCTGGCCTGCAATTCTCTTGATTCCTCTACAACTCAAAGCCCAGCACCTCTCCTGGAACCGAGGCAGTAAGCAGCCCAGGATCATTGGATGGCCACTGGTGACAGGGCTCCACATAGGTAAGTGACTGATAAATCCGATCCTGTAAAACATATGAGTTAGTCCAACTGTCTGAGTTCAGAACCGTCTGTGTTTGATACCTAATTGAGGACTGTCTGTATTTAACTATTTAAACAGTACAGCAGTTCAGAGAGCAAGGGTTTTTGGTGGGACTCTCTTTTTCAGGGCTGGCTTTCCAGCAGCTGCTGCCCTTTGCACCTGCTCTTGTCAAATTTCTGAATATCTGGAAGAAAGGTCAACAGGAAGGGAACAGCAAACGGCACAGCACTGCAAAGAGTACATGTTGGAAGATTTAAGGCAGCGGTACTCAACCTTTTTAAACTCAAGGCATGCATCCAAAACTATAATATAAACATTATGATTCTATTATTCATTAATTTGTTAGTAACTGATTTGATCATTATATATTATATTCAACCCACTGCTATTGTCACTGCAGCTAGCAGGAATTGTACTGTGTGCCTCCTTGCAGAGCCAGATTGGAAAGCGGCTGTGGCAGAAGCACCCACTCTTGCTGCAGATCTTTCAGGTTTGGCTCTGATGTGCTTCCTGAAGCCAGAGGTGGGTGAGGCAGTTCTACCTGCTGGCAGCAGCAGCCTGGAGATAATTACAGTAATGGAATAAAAAATAAATAAATATTATGTGGGCAACACGCCTTTCTGCTGCAGCTGCCTCTCAGTTTGGCTCCATTATGCCTCCTGAAAACAGAGGTGTGGGGGGAAATTTCACCGCACAACAGTAGCAGTTGGCAGCAGCAGCAATGACCATGTTG